AGATTTTCGCTATAGGGCGCGTGCGCTCGCCAGACAGACAGAGAGAGACATAGAGACAGAAAGCGAGAAATCACCCCCCAGGGGGGATGGTCACGCCTCAATCCCTTCTCCTCCATTCTTCTCTCGGGATCATGGGCACGCACGCACACGCGCCCGGCGTGAGTTTTAAGCCACCGGGTCCGGGACGGGAACCGCGGTCGACTACGTGGGAGTCCAGCGACATAGCCATTATGTTAACTGCCGGTTCCCTAAGCTAGGTAGTTTTAAAAAGAGGAATAGTGTGTTACGATGTGAACTGAAATACACATAACATGACATGCAGAAATCTCTAAAACAGAGTCAAAATTCCCACTATTTCAAAGCTATGTATAGAATAGTTTTTCTTAACAACATTCAGCATTATTTGGCCCTTCCCACAGAAGTACTGCATACCAAAAAGAATATAATGATCAGTTATTCATTCTGATTGCGGTTTGTAATATAATTTTCCTTGTGAATCCTGACTTCACCTTGTCAGAGAGTACTGCTTCCCCAAGGCTGCCCCCGGGTCCTGTTGACGGATCGCTCTAATTGCAGTCGGCGCTGTAAACAAGGCAGCTACTCCATGCTCCGCAAGCACACGGAAATAGGCGCCGGCATCTGGCGTTCCCACCGGCTTCCCCTACAACGAGATGCATTTAAAATGTCACTGGGTAAAATGCCTCATATTTCACTGACAGTTCAATACTTACACATTTAGCATGGCAATATTTATAAAATGGAACTCTCAACAAATCTTAGTTTTAAAATATTCTCATGTTCCGTCATAAATAAAACAAACCAAATGCCTAGGAATTAGAAGCCATTTGCTCCATTACAGTAAATATATATATATATATATACACACACACACACACATGTGTGTATATTTGTGTGTATGTATGTATGTGTGTGGACCTCCCATGAGATTTCTATCTATACATATCTTCTATACATATCTCTATATTTCCATATCTATATCTCCCATTCAAATTCAGCACAGAAAACCAGTCTTCAGGTCAGTAGGTGGCATGGAATTTAATGTACTGGATCCCACATGACAAACTGCACGATTCAAGTCTCAGATCTAGCAGGTTGAAAATGACACCGTGAGTGTATGCCGAAATCCTGAGAATAACAGAGACCAGATTGTGGTGTGGCCATCTCCCATGGGGGGTGATTTTTCACTTTCTCTCTCTTTCTCTCTCTCTCTCTCTCTCTCTCTCTCTCTTGTGCACAAACCTCATAGCAACTCTACCA